AAAGTAAAAAGTGTAAAATCATAAAGTGTAAAAAAAGGTTATTTTTTAAATTGACAAAAAAAAACCCCTACATTGTTCCTCTTTGACTGCCACATTATTGAAAATCTGTACTAGTGACATTCTAGCTAAAACTAAAATAACATTTCCATTCCAAGCCCACATTTTCACTTTCTTACAGCTTTTGCTTTTCAAACTGAAATTTCTTGGTATGATGATATTTTTGCTAAGCAATTAAAAACCAATTGTGTTCAAACCTTTTGAAATGCTTAGTTTTATTCTGTATAACTCAGGATTTGGTTTCTAAAATCTCAAATTTAGCATCTCAATGAAGAATAGTGTCTAAGACATGTTTGAAAAAAATGTTTTGAAATGAAGTGATGGGCATTTTAAAACAGCATTTAGAGTATGCAGTTTTCTTTTTTTTTTTAAACCAGAGAAAGAGAATGCAATGTGCCAATATGATGCTGTTACATGTGAACAGACGCTGCCTCCCTCTCCCTTGTTGCAGAAACTACTGCCTTGGAAGCCTTAGACCAGCCTTCATTCTCATCTTCCTGCAGCCTAAACCCTCCCTTAACAATGCCACCAGAGATAACCAATCACAAAAGCCTCTGCTCATTTTCCCACTAGTGATTTCTCAATAGACTTGGGCTCTGGATGCAAGGATCTGAGCACCACCCATACCATGCTTCTATCGGAAGACAGTTCCAAACAACAAGCTCATAAATACCTTTTCAAATTTAACATATTCTGCTGGTTTTACACATAATACATGCACTATATTCTTTAAATTTTGCATATTTCTAGCTTTGGTAAAGGTCCCATTACATTCACTTTTACTAAAATAATCTCTCTTATACCTTGCAAGTCCTCCTCGTTGAATCATAAAATCTTAAATCTATTATGAGACAAACCTAAATAGCAATCCTGTTGTGAAAGCGCAACCTGTGCCATCCTAAGCTTCAGTCAGACACACAGCTGTCTCAGGCAGATGGCTTTAGTGGGCAACATGGTGAGCTTGCCAGATTTTTAAAAAATGAAAGAGCTGTCTGCCTCATTAGTACTTGATGGCTGACCATCCACAAACACCTGGTATTCTAGGCTTCTTCCTCTTATGGAATAGCAATCATAGTTCTTACCTGTTGAGGATATTTATTATATAACCCAAGTCAATGGAATTTAGTACTTAAAGGATTTTACAAAGCCACAAAGTGGAAAAAAAATCACTTAAACTTACCTATTCTATGTAATGGAGGTGGGGCAGAAAAGGTCCTAGCAGGGTCACAAGTCAGTGATGATCAGGGTGGGGAAGCCATACTGCACCATAAAAATTATTTCTATCTCACTACTCATATCTGGTCATTTTTTTTCCCTAAGGGAGAAGTCATGAGACATTAATGTCTAATATAAAAATTATGAAGAAAGACATTTTCTTCCTTCTAATAACCATGTGTATATCCATCTAAACTACTTTTTCTTTCTTCTTATAACTCTAAGTGCATCGTCTCTAGTCTATGATCCCCACATCCACCTTCTTCCCAGGATCACAAAGCAAAAATAATGTTTAAAAAAGATGGCAAGGTAATAATGCATTTAAATGGCAAATGGTAGTTAATGAGTGTTGCAATGGTTATTGGATTTTAATCTGGAATTCTTTGGCTTATTTGGATTTAAATGCTAAGTTAACAGTTGTATTCAGTGGTTTGCTGGTAAATATTTAACAACTGACTCTCTGGGAAAAAAATGTACATATGATACACTTTAAAGTTTAATCTGCATTGTTAACATTTTCTCCACTGCTTTCTTAAATCTAGACAACCAACAAAACAATAAGTCAAGTCCTGATTTGTAGCATTTATTGATATCTGAGACAAACATTTGTTTACTTCCGAGGTATAAATGCTCACAATGAAAAGTTAACTACTAAGCCAGTTTGACCTGGCTCCAGCACCCCTCTGATGCCATTTGTTTCAATTTAAGTTCAACAAATGTTTATGGAGTCTTTACTACCCACAAGGCACTTGCTGGGTGCTTGGGGTAATATAGAAATGCATGGTTCCTATGACCATGAAGCTCATGGTCTAGTTAGGCATGGTGATTAAATAAAATGGTGGCTACATTCCCAAGATAACCCATAAAAGCTAATTTAACCCACAGGTACTAAAAATATAATAGTTCAGTACTATACTTAGTTCTGTAGTACCCAATCAACATGTTTTACAATGTTTCTATGTAGGAAAAAAAAAGGCATATGTAGTTCTAATTTTGAATGCCAGCAACACATTTCTCCTGACTCCTACATTGGGAATGGGTAAAAGTTCCAGTTTGAACAGGGACTTCCTCAGCTCTAATCTACTCCCTGGCTCCCATGGTTTTCAGGTCAATGATTCCAAAAGGGCAGACGCTGGTAAATGAATGGTGGAGATGAGGAGTACAAAGGGGCAAAAAAGGGGCTTAGAGGGATAAGAGGAACAGAAATAGGGCTTTGAAAAGATGGGGGTGCGGGATTTGAAAGCTATAGGAACAGGACTCTTGCTGGTATGACTCCCTATTGGCCCCAATCACTCCTTTGTTGTTATTTTAACTTTGAGAAGGTTGAGAACATGGGTATAATGTCTTTGTCTACCTGTTCCCACATGAATGAATGTGTCAGATGTTGCTTGAGTGATCCTTGTTCTATTACTAGGCATATGTTTTTCACAAGACCATGCTGCTGGATCAATGTCTTCCAATTTGTAATGGTTCATAAAACTATTAGTGATCGAAATAAAATACTTTTAACAAACAAAGGTTTTTACTTCTTAAATTCTATAAATTAAAAAAAAATACTCTTCTTATTCTGTTCTTCTTATCCCCAGCTCCAAGTCCTGGCCTCTGAATTCTGAGAGTAAGTACACTCAAAGGATTTCTCCATACATGGCAGAGTAACTTAGACATTCTTCTGGTCTACACAGTATGCGCAGGATGAGTCTCATGATGGCAGCACTCATTCCTTCTCTCCAAGAGCAGAAATTACCCTCAGTCCTCAGCTGCAGCTGGTGTGTGGTCCCCTCACAGAGAAGCTCCTTGACAGTCACAGCCAGGACATTAGCAGTTATTATCATCACACACTAAGAATTCTCCAGAAAAGTTCAGTTATTGGGGAATAGGTTTCATTTAAATCATGGGGTGGCTGGCATTTTAGCAAAAGTCATGGTCTTTGTTCCTCTAATTATTCCTTCTTTCACTACAATTAAATGAACCTTGCTTCTCCCCTGAGCAATTGCTCAGGATCCAAAAATGACTGTATTTCCCTTGGGCCCACTAGCTCCCCAGTTAATGAAATGCCAGTGGGATATTGCCAACACCTCTTTGGTTTTCAAATATTATCACTGGATATAAGTTTGTAGTATATTAAAGAATATTCTGCCCGTAGCTTATATTGGCCATAGCCTAGTAATCACAAATATTTCATGATAGTCTATGTATATAATACTGGCTTCTGCCAAAGATCATAGGATCATGTATTTAGTCCTAGATGGGACCTCAAAGGCCATCCAATCCAAACCTTTCATTTTATAGATGAGGAAACTTGAGGCCTGAGGAGGTTAAGTGCCTTGCCCAAAATCACTCAGGTAAACAGAAAAGGTGGGATTTGAAACCAGGTCCTCTTATTGCAATGACAGTGCTCTTTTTTCTTTATTGGATTAGAAGCCCTTTGACCTTGCTTGCTTTACCACACGCTGAACAACTGATGGAGAATTCCCTTCTTAGATTAGCCACCTGAGCTTTTTATCACTTTTTTCTTCATGTACTGCTAAGCTTAGTTTATTCTCTTTTATTTTTGGTAGTTCCCATTGCTGACTTCCTTCCCTTTTCTGAACTGTGAAACACATGTCTAGTAGTCAAGTTCGAAAGACAGTTGGGTGCACTATTATATCCTGCTAGACCCATAACACTTTCTTCTACAGGCCATGGGTATTGGCTCATTAGCTTGTTTCCCTCTACAGCATTACCAACTCTTTCTGATCATTTTTTTTTTCATCAGATAGTGGGAAGAACACAAGACTTGAAGAGAGAAGAGTTCGGCTTGAATCCTGGCTCTTGAGAGTTTACCCTTTTCCACCTCCTCCTCAGTAACACCAGTGGCCACCGAAGACTTTGCCCTGGACATCCTGGGCTGGGCCAAGGGGAGAAGATGGAATGGTAAAGTGACAGTCCAAGGCAATATGAGTTGAAGAGAAAGACAAACGACAAAGGAATATCCACAATAGGGAGGGAAGTGCCTTTACTATGGCTACTAAGTTAACCAGTCGAACAAATGTTCAAATGTAAGGCATTGGGTTTCTCTATTAAAAAAGGTCTACTTATTGACTTTCCAGTTTATCAACCACAAATAAATATTTATTCAACACACAGGGCACTATGAGAGATACACAGAAGTGTAAAACAAAGTCTCCACCTTCAAGAATTTTAGTAAATAAGGCATTTGCTTATAATAATATTAACTAATGATACAAGGTAGCACTTGATAATGTCAAATAAGCCCCAGAGACACAGTATTACTACTTATTTGGCCATTAATAATAAAAATAAACTCACATTTACATAGCATTAAAGATTTACAAATTGATTTCCTTACAACAATCCTATGAGGTGAACAAAATAAATACTATGATCTTATTTAAAAGAGGATAGAACAGGCTGCTCAAAGGAGTCAACTGCTTAGATGTGGTAAAGAACCAGTAAAGAAGAAAGCCTTCTTTCCACTGTACTATGTTAAATGTATTTAACTAAGTCTTAAATCAGTGAAATTATAGTATGCATTTGTTTATTCATTTTTTTGTTACAATTATATTTTTAGATATGTGAAAATAATTAAAGAACTTTTAAAACAAAAACTCCAAAAACAAAACCGTTGGTTCTATTAATTTCAACTTATGCCAAAATATAAGTAGTGATTAAAGCTTAATTACTTAATGTTTTTTGTTTATGAATCAGTAATGGATATATTAACTCACCAATCGGTAGGTCTGTGCCTTTAAAACATTGAGATCAATAAAGTTTTCTTCATTGTCAGTCTCCTCTTCCTTGGAAAAGAAAAAATTTCTTTAATACATTGTCATCATAAATCATAATTTAAAAATACTATATGAATATACACACATTATATTAGGTTTTATCTAAGATTTCTTGCAGGAAAAAAAAAGACAAATCTATAGAGACTGTGAATAATAAGGTAGTATACCATATTGAAGGCAGTATTTTCTGGTGAAAGAATTTATGTCTGTCATCTAGGAATCATCTTAGCAAAGTTCAGAAACTCTTCATCTATAGATAGGCTACCAGGTAATTAATCTTTTGCATCAGAGCAACTCATGATTTCATCTATTAAGATTGAGATGGGTTTGATCTACACAGACAAAAATCACAAATCCTTGACATGTAAGTTGCTATTGCTTTTTTGAAAAAAGAAATACTTACTAGCCATCGGATGGGCCCAAAATGAATGGATAAGGAAATTTATTGGGACTCAGTCTTATGACTGATTAAGAAACAGAGAATATCTATGCCAGACCTAGAAACATAGTCACTGAAGGCTATTTATAGGGCTGCAGGATTTGGGACAGTTACCATGCAAATGAACCAATGCATTGGTTTTCTAAAAAATATAGAGTATCAATTTATACCATAAAGGAATAATCATCAGAACCTTCTGGAATTAGTTATAAAAACAGAAAAGTACATCAGTAGAACAAGCTAGATAAAGAAGAATCAAAAACATTTTAACTCAGTAATAAAATGCTTGATAAATCCAAGAACATAAATTACTTATGGAAAAATTCCCTATTTGACAAGAACTTGTAGGAAAATGTAAAAAATATGGCAGGAACTGGGTTTAGATCAACATGTTATGTCATATGCCAACATAGGCTAAAAATCCGCACAACCTGAATATCACGAATATAGAAAACCATAGAAAAAATACGAGAACCAGATCACTTAACTTTCATAGCCAAGGCTAGGCAGGGGGAGACTTCTTAACCAAACAAGCCATAGGATTATGACAAAAGATAAAACAGATAATTTTTTATTACATTAAATTATAAAAGCTTTTGCATGAACAAAGTTAATGCAACTAGGATAGGAAAGGCTGTAGTCAATTAGAAAATAAATTTGCATCAAATATCTCTGAAAAGGGTCTGATATCCAAGATGATACAGAACTGATACAAAAAATATGTCTAGGAACTATTCCACCATAATGTGTTCAAAGGATCTGACCTTTGAGAACAAACATTTGTCAAAAGAATTATTAAACTATTAAAAACCATATGTGAAAGATCGCTCCAAATCACTAATAAGAGACTTATCAATCAAAACAACCCTGAGGTTTCACCTCATAAATAGCAAATTGACAAATATGAGAAAAGATGAGATTAGTAAATGCTAAAAAGGCTATGGAAAGACAGGAAACAAAGATTGTACTCTTAGTGGAGCTGTGAAGTAGTCTAACCAATTTGGAAAGACATTGCAACTATGCTAAAAAAAGTGACTGAATTTTGCCCACACTCTTTGACCCAGATATTCCTCTGTGACCCCCAACGAGGCCAAAGAAGGAAAAGCCCTATACATACCAAAATATTTATGGTACTATTTTTTTTTTAAGGTAGTAAAAGACTAGCAACAAAGCAGATGCCCATCAATTAGAGAAAGGTAAAATTAACTGTAATATATGAATGTAATACTATAACCCCCAAAAAAGGATGATTATAAAGAATACAGAGAAGCACAAGAAGAGTTATGTTAGTGAAATAAGCAGAACCAGGAAGATAACATACACATCAACTACATAAATGGAAAGAGCAATCAAAGCAAGAATGACAACAAAACACAGATGTAACATCCTAATTATAATAATTTTAACAACTAAGTTTGGTCCCAAAGAAGAAAAGATGAAATGAACCCCTTTTCCTTTCTTGCAAAGGTTGAGTATTATGGAATGGAAGATTATATTATACATAGGCAGATTTGGCTTATGGGTTGGTTAGTTTTGCTGAGGTGTTTTTTCCTTTTCCTCTCATTGTTTTCATATTTCTTTCTTACACAGGATAGCCTCTAGGTAGGGAAGATTGAAAGATCTATTTGTAAATGATGGTGATATAAAAACAAAAATAGAAGTAAAAAATTTAAAAATCATATCTATATGCATATATACATCTCTTTCTCTCTCTCTCCATATACATATATAGAGAGGACAAGAGAGAGAAAGGGCTACTTCGTGGTTTCCTAGAAGCGTTTAAAAACAAGTCAAGGTTCTTCTAAATTACAAAAGCATCACAATCCTTCCATATTGACTTAGGATGTTCCTCAAAGAAACTGTGATTCTTTATGATGGATTTACCTTGGCTTTCCTACAATCTAATCTTTTGTTCAGAGTTTAGGCTGCCTAAACTACTCCACCTAGAAATTTCCTACTACAACCTGGTCACATGCTTAGGCAGTCAATCAATTACTCTAAGTGTATTTTTAATAGCCTGCAGAAACAAGTCCAATACTTTTCAAAATTATTAGCCCTATAACTCCTCCAGAAAATTTCTAAGTTTGATACCTCTTATTGGGAAAGTGTGTGAGAGATAAAAAGGGAAATCACAGAAACAGTGTTAAGGACTGTTAAAGAGTCCCCTGAATTTGAAGTAAAGGAGAGAATGCTGATAAAAAAAGAAGTACAAATACAACTTTGAAAAGAATGTGTTAATATTATAATGAAAAGTGGGAAAAAAGTACAGGGATAAAACTGAATATGCACAGACAGAAAGGATCCTAGGCACAGGTCACATAGGAAAGGATCTGAATCTATTAGAAAAGCCTGGCTAAGGACCTTATTTCCATGGATTCTCTAAGGCAGTGTTGTCAAAATCAAACAGAAATGGAATCCCTACAGACCACACATTGACTTAGAAAACCACAAATTAACATTATTTATCTTTTATTTCATTTTTATTTATTTTGTTAAACATTTCCCAACTTTAATCTGGTTCCACCCATGGCAGGGAGGGAGGCATGGTGAAGTAGATGGGATAAGGGGGGAGGAGTTCTGCAAGTTTGACATCTTTGCTCTAATGTGGTCTTAACCTCTTTTTGTGTCATGGACTTCTCCCAGAATAATGTTTTTAAAGGCATAAAGCACATAAAAATACAAAGGAAACCAATGGATATTGAAATAAAGATGTATTTTTTCTCAACAAAATTTGTGGATGCCCTGAAATTAATCAACAGAATCCTTGGGAGTCCTTGGACCCAGGTTAGACACCCCTGCAAAATGATTATCTCCCCTCTTCCCCCACTAATGCTGCTATAATTTGGTTTTAAATGCACCCAGGACTTCAAAATGCTGAGGTGGCCCAGAAGCCACAGCAATAATGTGCTATAGTTTTATTATGTCAAACAGCATGTAGTGGAGGATCTTTAAAGATTAAAAATTGAAGTACTGGGACTAGACTTAACCTTTAACACTAAGGCAAAAAAAAAAGAACAGGAAAGTAGAAGGAAGCAGGAGTCTGATGTAACAGGGAGAGTGAAAGAGATTTTCAGAATTATATTTCTTTATTGAATCAAAATACTTGATAAGGCTTATATATACACCTTCAAATTTTCAATTTATAATGCAAAAAAGTATATCCTTTTAAATGATACTAAATTCATAAATATAATTATCTGTAATATAATGGCTTTTCCATCTTCAGTTAGTGAGTAAGAAATTTCCTCTGATGGTTATTTGCTATCTTAACTGCTTTCTTACTTCCACATTGAGTTTTCAGGGTATTTTACTAGTTACAGGTAAAGTTTACTCAAAAATTTTAATTAGTTCAGGACACAATAATTTACACACAGAATAAAGTAGTTCTTTAATATATTTCAATCACCAAATTCCACATATGTTTCCATATTCAAATTGTCAAGTCTAATCAATCTATCTCAAGTTCTGGGCAATGGACTATCTGAGAAGTTCTCTCTGTTCCCACTGGCCTCACAATTCTGATCTGTTGTAGCAAACAGAGATTTAAACATTAGAGACCTGGTCTTTTAAGTTTTATATTATGAACAGCATGTTAAACATGCACAAAGGCCCAGAAGGTGTAGTGCAATTTAAATAAGATCTTTTATTTGAAGCCCTCAAGAACATTTGACCAACATTCATTGATCTGAACATTTCTGTGGGGTGGTATTGTTATATTCATTTTATGGACACAAAAGCACTAAGAAATGAAATTATGGTGTTAGGGCAAAAGAATAGGAATTAAGCCAGGCTTACGTATTTGGCTAGAATATGGAGTGTATTGAGGGGAATGATATGAAATAAGCTTATAGATAGAGGGAGGCTGAAGCCAGATTTTGAGTTTTGAATGCCAAGCAAAGGAGCCTGTATTTTTACCGTAGAGGCAAGAGGGAGTCACTGAAACTTTTTGAGCAGGGCAGTGACATGGTTAGAGTCATGTTTTAGGAAGATTATTTTGGCAATGGCACAAAAGACAGAAAAATCTATGGAGAACAGACTGGAGAACACTGAGAGTCAATTAGTAAGCCCAAGCAAGAGGTGATGAGAAATTTAACTATTAATCAACAGGCATTTATTAAGAAACTCCTCTATGTGACGTGCTAGGGACACAAAGCTTTGTTTTGAAACAAAACAAAGGTGGTGGCTATGGAACCGAAGAGAAGAGGATGGGTGAGAAAAATGGGAAAAATAGGTGGAAGCAGAATCAAAATTTGGCACTTGCTTGGGTCTGGGGAGAGGAAGAAGAAGAGATGGGGAGACGGAAGGGGGAGGAGGGAGAAAGAAAGGGAGGGAGGGAAGGATGGAGAGAGAGAAAGAAGGCAAAGGTGACTCCCAAGTTGTGAACCTGAATCAATGAAAGGATAGTGATAGACTCCATGGGACATCCATGGCTACTGGAGATGACAAACTGGAGCCCAGGAGAAAGATGAGGTCTGGGCGTGAAGATTTGGGAGTCATTGGAATAGAGATATAATTGAATGCATGGGCACCAATAAGATCACAGAGAAAGTGAGAGAGAGACAGAGAGACAGAGAAGAGAGAGAGAGGAAAAGGGGTTTTTAACCTCTTTTTTGTCATGGACTCTTTTGGCAATCTAGTCAAGTCCATGGAACCCTTTTCCAGAATAAGGTTTTTTATATGTATAAAATAAAATACAAAGAGATACAAAGGAAATAAATTATATTGAAATAGCTATCTATATCTATATACATATATATATATATACATATATATATATATATATATATATTTTTTTTTTTTTTTGGCTAGGCAATGGGGTTAAGTGACATGCCCAGGGTCACACAGCTAGTACATGTCAAGTGTCTGGTCTGAGACCGGATTTGAACTCAGGTCCTCCTGACTCCAGGGCCAGTGCTCTAACCACTGCGCCACCTAGCTGCCCCCCAAATATTTTTTAATCAAGATTATAGGCCCCAGGTTAATAACTCCTAATATAGAAGGATAAGAGAGCCGACGATAGTTCCTGATGTAAAATGATGTTTAGCAGGTGGGACATGAATGATGATCCAGCGATAGAAACTGAGAAGGAATTCAGACAGGTACGGGGAGAACAAGAAAGAAATATTTCTCTTGAGAGGGGAGTAGAAAGGCAAGGGTTTTATTAATGAGAAAGACGAGAAACTCCCAATCTAAACCACCTGATGAAAGAGGGGGAATGATCTGAGGGCTGGTAGATAACTGCAAACAGTATCTGCATATATGAAGGAGATATTAGCAGAGGGAGGACCTGAAAGTAGCAGTGAAGAAATAAGGAGCACATACCTACTCTTCTTACTTGGACCTATATTTAATATTTTTCTCTCCTAAAAGTTACTGAAAAAAATATATTCTAGGATATGACAACTTCTATCACTGTATTTTTAAAGTGCTTAAACCAGTGCCTGGCATATAGTAGGTGCTTAAAAAATGCTTCCCTATTCTTATAGGAAACAAAAGATATTTATGCACAGGAAACTCAGAGCTAGTGATTAATACAATTAATAAAAAATCTGATGTAAACAAATACATACCACAATTTCTTCATCTACTTTATTTACTGTCAATTCTGCATCATCTTCTGGAACTGTTTCTTCTTCTAATTCTTCTACTGGGTATACTGGTCTAAAAGAAGACAGCTAAGTTTAATTTGTGTATTTACTTAAAAAATAAATTATAAAAGAAATAATAAGGAAAATGCTCAGAACAGAAACAAACTTTTATTAAAATTTTCTAACTTCTGATATATGATATTTACAAAGTACAAGCCACAACAGTGACCTTCACTGGAATTTTCCTGAATGTGACATTCGGGAATATGAAAAAATATGAGTTAGTATTTGTGCAAACTTCCAGGTGATCTGTGTGTGCTAAAATAATGTTTATGTTATTGTATTATTAAATTGGTATATTCCTACGTAGTACTTTAGCATTCCCTCTGTGGTAGATAATGTAAGTATTACAATCCTCATTTTAAAGATGAGGAAACTAAGGCATAAAGAAGTTAAATGACTTGCCCAGGGTCATATAAGCTACTAAACTTTAAACTTTTAAACTTTGAACTCAGGTGTTTTAACTTCAAGATCAATGTTTTTTCCACTATACCACAGTACTGATACAGACTATAAGCTATGACAGTTAAGATTTTATGATTCTTACTTGGAGTTGTTGATTTGCTGATTGTCCCCTCTAATTTTTTTTTCAGCTATTGATGTCGTTCAGTTGCTTGAGTTGAATCTGACTCCCATGACCCCATTTGGGGTTTTGCTGGCAAAGATACTGGAGAGGTTTGCCATTTCCTTCTCCAGTTCATTTGACAGAAGAGGAAACTGAGGCAAACAAGGTTAAGTGATTTGCCCAGGGTCACACAGTTAGTAAGCGTCAGAAGCCAAATTTGTACTCAGGAAGATGAGTCTTCCTGAGTCCTGGCCTGGCACTCTATCCACTGGACCACCTCACTACCCCTTTCTCATCTATGGACTATGTAATTTTATAAGGTTTTTTTTTTTAACCACACTTATCATTCCTCATGTGTAAAATGAGTAACTTGGTCTATGTGATTTTAAAGGCCCTGCCTAACTCTAACAATCAAATTTAAAATGCACACATCCCTGCCAGAATAAGTTTATATAGTTGATCACAAAAGCAAAATATCTAACCCTTTACTTTAAAACTAGCATAAAAAGTCACTAAACATTTCAGTTCTATATTGACTTTTTTCTCTTCTCTATTATCTGAGGTGTTTTTCCAATATGAAATAAAACAATAGGAAGGGTTTTTCATGAGATCACTTTTTAAGGTTCTGAACAGTTTGTTTTAATGTGCTGCTTACATAATATAGTACTACTAGACTATGATCTTACCTTTTCCAACTGAAACCAACATATTTTAGGGCTTCTTCAGCTAAACAATCAAGAACATAACATACATGCTCTCCATGACCTGACTTTAATTTTGATGGAGGAAAATCTGCAGATCTTTCCTAAAATAAAAACAAAGTATTTTCTTTTTTATATTCCAAATGTGATGAGACAAATGACATGCTGCATATATATTTTATATATATATATATATATATATATATATATGTTTTGGGGAGAGGAAGGTTAAATACTGTTTTAAATAATTATACTTCTAGTCCATCTTTTTTTTCCCCGTCTCTTCTTCCTAAGACACAAATAACATGGCCTAAATTTGGCAAGAAGTCAGTTCATCTTTTCCTGATGAGCTATCTGACTAGGGAAAATCATTATTCCCTTAGGCCAGCCTACACACAAAGGCAAAACAACCAGCTGAAAAGTGAAAAAAAAAAATCAATAAGCCTGCTGTTTGATCTATATAATGCCAACTGGTTTTACAGAATCTCTCAAACTCCAACACTGAATTGCTGAAATCAATTTAATTTAATTCAAAAAAATATTAAGTACCTACTACGAACAAGGGACTTTTCTAGGCACTGGGAATACAAAGATAGGCCTGACTGTATCTGTGATGAGGATTTATAACTGAATAGTGAAGAAACACCATCACATACACATGTAGCTGATACAAAGGATTATCCAAGGCACACAAGTTATAGGAGGCATGGTCTCAGTCAGGGAAATCTGAGTTTAAGTCCCATCTCTGATTCATATGTGACCCTGAGTTAGTTATTTAACCTCAAGGTGTCTCCAAGCAACTCTCTAAGACTGGAAGTGGTAATCTGCACTGGTAGGTAAGGTTTTTTCACCTGGAGTTACCTATACTACTGAAATCACATTCCCAGACCAAAAACAAGGTAAGATGGAAGGGAGGAGAATATCAGGAAATGCTTCAAGAAAGAGGTGGCACCACAACTAGGTCTTGAAAGATGAAGCACTCTTAACAGGCAGAGACTTAAGGAAGCAAGAGAAATTCCATTCTGGTAGAAGGAATAGTTTGAGCAAAGGCACTGGGACACAATGACAGCAGGATACAAAGAGCGGTCTGGCTAGAACATAGCCTAAGTGAAAGAGAGTATGTGAAATAAGGTGGGAAAGATAGAAGTCAAATTGGGGAGGATCTCAAAATGTCAGGATTAGGAATTCATAAATTTGCAGACAATGGAGAGGCAATGAATTTTTGAGAAGAAATAATATTGAGAAGAAATAATATTATCAAAGTGATACATTAAGAAGATAATTAGAATCCCCATATGAAGGATGGAAAGTAGGATAAACTAGAGGCTGACAGGTCAGCCATTTTATTTGCCATTGAAGGCCTACTATAGTCTTAAGTATTTGGAAGATTATGATGAAAGTAAGATAAAAGATGGGATGATAAATTAGGGCCACCCATGATAGCAACTGGAATGAGAACTCCCAGAGGTATTTAGAAATGAGGAAGACATGATCAGCGTCTCCTAAGCCCTTTCAATCTCTTCAAGGCAAATGTCTCTACAAATGCATGAATATATGGTAACTGTGTTCACATTAGAGACTGGAAAAAGAAACCCACACTCAGGACTTATGTGTCCTAAGGATATTTATTAAGGGATAGTTTTTTATAGCCAACAGGAGATGGGATGCTACAAACTGGCAAATCCGTATCCAGATTTGGGCAATGTTTTGGCAGTTCAGATTGGGGTGGATAAAGAACTAAGGCTGTTTTCTAGCTTCCTCTGAAAAGTCCCATCTCCCATATATGTTAAGAGCTGTTCCTTTCTTTTCCAAGGTTCCTGGATGGTGATCGGTGGGTGGAGTCAACAGTGTTACCTAACATCTGGTTCAGGCACACACTTTTGTGTCTTTCAGCATAGTAACTGGTTGAGATAGGAATGCTCACTGATTTACTCAAGGTTAGCTAATGAATGACATAATGCAAGGTGCTATGGGATTGTCTGTGTCCACACAGACATTTTATAAATGAAATTATTTGGAAAAGAAGAAACTTTCTCAGCAGATTTTAGTGTTGAAAACATGAAATCAAAGTTTAAAGCACTTTGTAGAGGTGTTCTCTCTCCTCTCCCTCCACTGTGCTAATTTAGATTCCATAAAGGGGAAGGGAGAATAAACTTCTAATACACAAAGATCCAGATAAGCACAGAAAGCCCTAACATAGTAGTATAGTCATGTGTAGATGAGATTATTTACATCTCTCAGAGTGAGGAAGGATAGGTTTTCAATTAAAAAATTCACAGAAGCAAAATTATACCCTCATACACATAATGAGAGAGATATAGAACTGGAGTGACCATACATTAGGTAAAGCATTGCAGTACTTAAAAGTACTTGGCCCTGTCAAGTAGAAAAGGTGTAGGTAGACTGGGGAGGGGGGAAAAGAGGCAGAGTAGGAACAACACTTAGGCTACTATAATAGGCTAGGCAAGAACTGATATTCTACTCTCTTACATATCTGACTGTTCATTCTCAGCTTTCTTTGCTAGATCATGCCTCTTACTTGTGAACGTACTCCAAGACTGACAGTTTCTCTTGTGTCTCTACACTCTCACTCAGTGACCTCATTAGCTCCCAAAGGTTTAATTATCACCTCTCTACAGATGACACCCAGATTTATATATTCAGGCTAATCTCTCTTATGAGCTCTAGTCCCATATCACCACATATTGGGTATTTCAAATTGGATGCACTGGAGCCATATCAAACCCAAAATATTCAAAAGAGAACTTATAATCTTTCCTAAAAATCTCATTTTCCCACTGAATTTCCCTATTTCTGTCAAGGGCACCACCATGATTTTAACCACTGTTATTCTTCAACTTCTCATTCTCCTACACTCCACATAACCAACCAGGTGTCTTATATGGCCTTTTTTACCTGCATAATATTTTTACACCTGCCCTTTTCTCATATAGTCATCATGCCTTATTTCAGGCCCTAATCTGTTCTTGCCTATATTATTACACTGGTTTCCTAATTGTTCTTTTTGTCTCTTCATCCTCTACTGCAAGCTATCCTCTCTACACAGATGCCAAAGTGATTTTCCTTACGCACAGATATGACCATGTCACTCCTCTACTCAAAACATTCCAGTATCTCCCTATTGCCTCTTGGACAAAAATATAAACTCTTTTGTTTGTTTTTCTTAAAGTTTTTCACAGCCTCAGCTGAATCTATCTTTCCCTTCTAATCTTATACATTACTCATGTTCCCGTATCCTATGGGTAGCAAAGGCTATTCTCTTCTCTGTTCCATGTTCCATTCCATGTGCCACCTCCCTGACTCTGCAATGGCTGTCCCCCATTCCTAGAATGTACTTTTCTACTCCACCTCATAGTATCTCTCATTTCCTTCACAACTTAGCTCAAGTAACTACCTTTCCCAACGCTCCCAACTACAAGCGCACCTCCACTCTAAGGTGTATTTATTTGTATCTATTTTGTACATATATCTGTATACACATGGCATCTCCCCTCCATAGAATGGATGCTCCTTGGGAGCTGGGACTGTTTCATTTTTGGTTTTTGTATCCCCAGCACCTATAATAATGCCTGACAATAAGTAGACACTTAATAAATGTTTGTTGATTAACTGATTGGTTGAATAGATTAAGATTTTGACTGAGATTAGTTAGAGTGAAAGCAAAAGAGCTGGACCTGAAAAATGTGAAGACAGAATTTCTTGGCAGGATAAGACAAATGATAACACGTAGGGGAAAATGGAGAGGGAAGAGGATCAAAGATGACTTCGGGATTTCAAGCCTGTGTAACTGTGTAGATGCTAGAACCAACAGGAAGTTAGGAAGAAAGTTAGTTTAGAGTGTGTCTGTGTGTGTGAGAAGGGAAAGATGTAAAAGAAAGGGAAAGTGAGGCCATGTCTATATGATGGAGTGCTAAGGAAAGCACAGAGGTAGGTCAAGTAGATATAGCCTCTGATTAATTTTTACAACTTTTACAATTAGGTATTATGATAATCTACAATTTCTCTGATGCAGCAAGTTCATGAATTAATTAAATGCTTGCATTATGTTTAGTACCTCTATTAGTACCTCTACTACCTCTTCCCTGGAGTAAGAACAGAAATAAAAAGCATACTTGCATTATGAACCACCATCAAAAGATGTGTCAAAATAAAAATTGTTGTTCAGTTGTTGGATGCTGCTTATTTTTTCAGAAAGGTGAGCTAAAAATCCATATTTTAGTTCTGATTAAGAAATTTTTAAGATTAAGAAAAATAATGTACATTTTTGAACTATATATCAGTGTAAATTAACAATTTTTGGAAGACAGATACAGGAACCTAGAGATGCTTGAAACTATGTTGATAATACTTTAAGTGTAATTGTAATACTTTGATATATCCCATCTGAAAAAGTTAGAAATTTATAAATAGGAAAAAGATTACAGTCTGCCATTTATATTGAATTAATTAGCAAATACAGTGAGCTTAAAATTCACAACTTGAAAATAGAAACTCTTGTGCACTTACAAATGATCGAAGCTCAGATAATATATTAGATATTGTTGCATTGGGGTCATCATATTCCTGTGGCTGTTCAAAGGGGCATCCTGCTTTATTAATTAGCCAAGCGGCAAGAGTGCAAAACATGTAAAATTGTTCACCTGGGTTGGTAGGCAAAGCAAAATAATGTCTGTTTCAAAGGAAAAAAAAGAAATCTTAAAGAGCTGCAAGATAGTAACATCTATGATATTTCAAAAGGATATTTTATTTTAATAGCAACATCAAAAACAAACAAAAACCTCAGGACAGATCTCTTTATCAATTTCCATATCAATATGCCACATGAACATTAAAGTTTCTTAATACAGAAAATCACAGGTGTCAGAGCTGCAAGGGAATGTAGTGGTCTTCTCAGGTTAGAAATTAAGAAGAAAAAGAGGCACCCAGAGTGACCAAGCCAATTTTTGAAAATGTATTTATTATTCTGTTTTAAACTCCCAAGAGAAGTTATGTAGCTAGTTACTGACGGCATTGGATTTGTTAATTTAGGTCTCCTGACACCTAATTCTGTGATCTTTTCACTACTACATGGCCTTTCCAAATGAAAGAATCAGAAAAATCATTACTGTTATTACAAATGAAACATTTGAACTAGTATGTCTATAGTACAAGGAAGAAAGGATATGAAATAAAGAAGTATATCTGAAAACTTAAAAAAAAGATTAAGAAGATCCTGAATCCATCACATGAGTTAAAAAGCTTTAAGATATCACATTTTAACTTTAAAATATACATATTCAATGTAACTTCTAACCCCCAAGTTCAACAAAAAACAGTCCCAGATCTGAGATCTTACGAAATTTAATAACAAATTTCAGAGCAAGATAGCTAGCAATAATAACATTAAAGTAATACTAGTTCAAGAATTTTTCCTGTCTCTGTCATATCATAAACTTTAATTTATAAAAAAGCATTTATTAAGAGAGCATGCTATCTATGTTGCAGTTCAGTTTTTGTGAACTTTTTTCAGTACATAGCCCACCTGTGAATGGCCACAACAGAAAGGGGCAAAGAAGGGAGATGATGACATGTTATAAATACAAGTACACATATACCTCTTAAACCCTTCCACAGCTTCTCTCAAGATTATTATGGTTATATATGGTTATTACTACACCTCCACTCTCCTGGTCAAAACTGATAAATGGAAACAAAGAAACCCACTATGTCTCTATACACATATTTAAGATGCACTCAAGCAGCCTGATGCACTGGTCAGGTAATAGGGATATAATCAATATTAATACAAACACAGAACATATTACTTTAACTCTTAAAAATGTATTTGGGCAAAGTGTCACATCTTTGGCAGTACAAGTATTTTGCAGAGTGGGTACTTAAGTGTTTGTTGAATTGAAATATAAACGAATCACATACCAATCAATCCAGTCTAAGCAATCAATTTATAATAACATGTAAATCATAATATATAGTGACCTATGACTAAAACCAATATTATAAACATGTTGTTTTTTTCCTCCAACTTTTCACTGATTATAGATAAACTATGCAAGAGAGATGACTTAGACAAAGGCTGGGTAGTTGAAATTTTGGATGATTACAAGAATGAAGAGTAGAAGAACATGCCTGAGATAATCCCAGGAAAATTATTTGGGCTTATTACACATTAGGTAAAGCAAAGTTGCTTCCAACTCTAAAGTCGAATTCTAACTCGAATTCATCCGTACAACACAAAAATAATCAAAACAAATCTTAACAGCATTATGGAAAGAAATTTATGAAACCAATTTATTTGGCTAAATCTAGACTCCGTGCGTTGGTGAAGAAAGTGGTATCTGTCTATTCTTATCAAAGAAAAAGAGGCACTGTTTTGTAGACATGATAGATTCTGAATTTTCCACACCAACAAAAGTAAGTATTTTGTTCTTCAGACTTCAGAGAACACAGTGCTCTGCCCACAGGATGGAGAATTACATACCAGGAGCTTGGTGTACACGGCAATAAACAATGGACGTAGTCCCAAGAGCTTTGTCCATAAATCCTACGAATGCATTTTCCAGCCTCTCCTTGCATCGCGCCTTGCAAATGGGACACATTTTGAAAGAAAACCAATCTGAACTTTTGCACGCTCTCTCCCCCTCTCACCTACGCCCCAAAACTCCTCGGGTTTGGTACTGCTGTCCTAGCTGGGCGATGCAAGCACGGAAGAGTCTGGTTCAGCTACCTCCTCTTTGGGATAAAAGGGGTGTGCGCATGTGTGTGGGAGACTACGGAACGGACGGACGGGATACCACCAGCCCTCCGGCCCAGGCCGCCGGAGCCAGGCGCGTGGCGCCCGAGGGCGGTAAGGGGGCGTGGCCGCCGCCTCGAGTCCTACCTGGACAGGGGCTTCAGGTTGTTTCTGCGCAGGATCTCCTCTTCGTAGCGCAGCAGCTTCAGCTTCTCCACCAGGTCTTCCATCACCACGAACATGTGGTAGGCCGCTCCAGGGCCCCGCTCCACGTACACGCCCTCCCCGGCCTCCTCCCCGCCGCGGGGCCGAAGCACCGTATCCTCTACGCCCACCGGCGACACCACGGCCGCAGCCACAGCCATGTGTGCGGGGGGGGGGGGGAAGGGAGAGGGGTGGGGGAGTGGGCGGGGGGTAGATGAGCGCTCTGAGTCCGGGGCTGATCAGCCCAACAACCTCCCCTGCAGGGCCGCGCTCCACTCCGCCGCTAACTCTGGGCGCCACCGTCGCCTGGCAACGCGTCAACCTCCGGTGACGTCACGCCCCCCAGCGTCCTGGAGCCCCGCCCTTTCCTTGTGATGCCCACGCGCCCGGGAGCTCCGCACCCCTGGTTACCTTGGCCCCGCCCACTCCGCTCTGTGCATAAAAGAGCAGGCGGGGAGCGGGCGGGGCCGAGGAACTTTTCTGCGTCTGTGCGAAGATATTGTGCAAAGTGGAAGCCTAGTCCCCTCCTACCTTTCCAGTCTTCTTATATCTTACTTCCTAACTCGAACTTGTTGATCCGTTGACCGGCCTCCTGCTTGTTCTTTGAACCAAACCCTCCATCTCTCTTCTCTGGGCATCTTCTCTGGCTGTTCCCCATGCCTGGAACGCTCTCCCGCCTCCTCTCCACCTGTTGCCTTCTCAGGCTTCCTTAAATCTCAGCTAACATCTTACCTACTACAGGAAGGCTTCCCCAAACCCTCTTAATTCCATCTGTTAATCATTTCCTATTTAGCCTGTATATAGCTTGATTTGTATATATTTGTTTGCATGTTGTCTTCCCCGTTAAATTGTCCTTTGAGGACAAGGGACTATCTTTTGCCCCTTTTTGTATCCCTAGCGCTTAGCACAGTGCCTGGCAAGTAGTAGGTGTTTAATGTTTATTGAATTGGATGGTAGGTAGGCGGTTAGCAAAAATAAGTTTGTGTCTCCTAGTAAGGCTTAGACGCCAGCTTTCTACCTCTTAGAACTCTGTAAATTTTCTGTAAGCTTCGAAGCGCCCTCTTCATTCTATTGGCAAGAAATAATGGTTATTTTCTTCTCTAGTGGACTTTATTGCTTGCAGTTTATAAAGTTCTTTAACAGGTTTTGTAGGTTCCCAGAATAGAGAGGAAGGGAACGTTCTCTTGATCTGACCTATCACTGAAGCTCTCAATTTAGGGGATAAATGCAGTGTGGAGGCTTTGAGGTAGGGGGAGAGAGAGAGAGAAGAGAGAGAACATGAGAATTTCTGGTGTTGGTGCATTTTTGGCTTAGGGTGACATTGGAGAGATCTACAACCTACAACCTATTTACCTGTTAACTGTCGAAATTAGTGGAGGGAGAGTATTTGCAAGACTCTGAAAAGTGGTCTTGTGAGGAGTACCTCAGAAGAGTTGTGATTGAATAATGTCTACAAGATAATCCTAAAAATCAAGTTTTAAAAAGTGATTGTAGCAGGTTTTAAGAATAAAAATTTCTTAGCATTTAAGAATAAATATTACTTAGCACTTAGTGAGCTAATGTCTTTAACTGGTTCCAAGGGTAAGGAAAGTTCAAGTCCCTACAGGTTTTCAGTCACAAAGATTTCTGAAACCTTTCCATAATGGTATAGAAATTTCCAGTTGAGGTCCAGAGTGATTCTAGAAAGGAAAACAGGCATTGAAGGCCTTAGAGCTGCTCTTGAGGTAGTATTTCAGCTTCAAATTCTATTGGCAGGCAATGATGTATTGCCTTCCCACGTGTTTTCTGTCTAAATTGTGGGAGAAGTACAGTATTAACTAAGGAATAAAGCTTCCTCTCTAGTTTCATGTAGAAATTTTTTTAAAGAAGTAGTTACAGGACATAGAGAAGAAATGTTTGTAAAGTTTTATGGGGGTGACATTAAAGATTAGAAAAATCTCTTGGCTTTTCACTATGTTTAAACTAGTTTCAGTGGATAAAATATTGTAGCCTTTCAAACCATTCCTTCTCGATCTCATCAGGATTCTTTATCCATTAATTTTCATTCACTTTTACTTGGATACAGTAGCACTTGACAATGATACATTTTCTCTGTGCTCCTGGGAGGTAATAGTGATTCATTGCAGGCAAGTTCTATTTTGCTGAAGCTCTCTTCTCCTGGCATTGGTTGACCCTTTGGATGCAAGTCCTTTTTTGTTTCTAATGCTCAGTAGCTCTCCTTGCCTTTTCCAGGTGAAATGGTTAGCTATATCTTAGAACAGGGGTGGGGAACTTGAGGCTCAGAAGGCCATATGTGGCCTTGAGGCTGCAGGTCCCCCACTATTTCGTCATTGTTGAGACAATAGTGGATGATTTCAAGACTTGCTGTGGTGAAAAAAATTTATCAATAACCAACCTTCTGGTAATGAGCCTCTCTGCATCATGCCCAGTTGAAAGATATAGGAGTCGTCAGGGCCCACTTTAGAAACTTTTCCATTTTGGAGAGGAACTGCCAGAGCTTAGGGTCAGCTAACACAGTCCTCAAAAATCCAGAATCACCTAAAGTGTATCAGCTGATATTGTTTCGAGTTTTCATCCATAGTTAAGCAGCTAATAAGGAAAGTAGACAACCATAAGTAGGGCAGCTGTAGGTTAAAAAAAATGGTACCAGGGAATTTGCCATCCAAAGTTGAGGCAGGAGTAAGTGTACCTCTTTGGAGGATGGTAGTGGGATTGGAGCTGGTCAGAAGACTCAAGCCACTCTTTCTTTCTCTGATTCTTCTGGTTCCTCCAATTACTTAATAACAACAACAAAACTTAATAACAACAACAACAACGAAAGTATGGTAGTACACTGTATTATTAGGGTATGGAAGGCCTGGCTTCTAGGATGAGTAACTCTAATACTTAATGGCTGTTACCTTGGTCGAGTCATTTAATTTCTCTACTATTCATTTTTTATTTTGTTTTGTCTATAAAATGAGTGAGTGGAACTAAATGTTCTTTTAGGTACTACTAGCTCTGTCCTAAAACTGTGAAGTTTGTCTTACATGGGCTTAGATGAGTAGATTTGACTTATTTGGTGCCCATTTTCAACTCTGATTCCAAATAATAATAATAGCAGGTAACATTTATGTAATGCTTCCTAAGTGCTACTCACTATGCTAAGCACTTTACAATTGTTATCTCATTTGATCCTCACAACAACCATGGGAATTATTTTTATCCCCATTTTATAGATGAAGGAAATTGGAGGTAACAGAGGTTAAGTCCGAAGTCATATAGCTTGTAAATATATGAGGCCAAATTTGAACTCACATTTTCCTGACGTCAGGCCCAGTTCTCTATGTACAATGCTACAAAAGTAGTTGAGGATCAAGTGGGAAACTGTGAAATAAATATTATATATACAAATATAAAGTTTTAGTATTGCCATCAGTAGTGAAAATTCTAGATAACGTGAAACTACTAACCTTTTGTAACACATATTCAAAAATTACTTAATGCCTACTATGTGTAAAGTATTGGGGGACAAAAAGCTGGCACGTTCCCCAAGAGTATAGAAAGTTACATAGCCATACCAATAGAAATGTAAATGGCAACCCAATTCAAGGACTTGAATTGATATGACATTTAGCAGACAGATCTACCAGAGACAAACACAAGAAATATTAAACAATTCTGTTCAACAAATGTCCCTTCAATTTCTTTCAATTTGAGGATCGGGGAGAACAACAGAATAAGAAAGGGTCTAGTGCATTAGGACCATAGCAGGCCTGTACACTATATGGCCCATGGACTGTTTGCAGTCCATCAAAGTAAGTAAGAAAAATGTAAGGCATATAAAAGAAAGTAAAGATGTAAGGAGTGCTTTGCCTATGCCCCCCTTAACCTGCTTTCCACTAGTCACTACTGTGCCTGTCATGCAACTCGGCAAATGGGTTGCCGCTGTGTGCTCTGTCCTGTTTGTCACATGACCCGCAGTGATGGACCATTGTCAGTCTACGTGACTAGACTATCTGCAGCCCAAGGAAGTTTAGCCTATTTTAATTTTGGCCCCTACCTACTGTCAAGTTGTGCAGGTCTGGACTACGGGGTTACAAAGATAAATAAGGTAATGCGTCTGACCTTAAGGACTTTATAAGCAAGCAGGGGAGATAAGTCTAATGAGTCTTGTAGGTCTAAAAAGCTGTTATGAAAGATGTTTAAGGAACTCTTTTTGCCCCTGGCCCACCCTTCTGTGACCTGGTTTTTAGTAAGGGAATCTGCCAAGCCTAAACCCTTTACAAGACTTTCTATATGTGTGCAAAGTTAAATAAGCAATTAGAACCTTCCCATAAATCTTTTTGTTGCCCAGCCCAAAGATGCATTGAGTCCATGCATTGAGTAAAACAAATTGATCTCTGTGATCTCAGTGATCTCTGAGGTCCCTTATAAGTCTATGAGGTAGGTGGAGGCTCTGGTTCAAACTTCCCTAACTGGGCTTGTTCCAGGTGTCACATGGGAGGAATTAGCATTCTGCCAGGGTGGAGAAGGATAGCTTTCCCCCACTCCTCATGGGAAGTCCCAAAATTACATAATACATAAATAGCTTGGAGATTCAAAAGTAGAGAGAAAGCCAAAAGGTGGGATGACTCATTTTTATTTTTATTTATTTTGTTAAATATTTTCCAGTTACATGAAAAAAATTTCACATTCTTTTTTTTTTTATGACACTTGTTTAGCCATTCCCCGACTGATGGCCAATCTTTGCCACCACAAAAAAAAAAAAAAAGAAAAAAAACAGCCATGTACAGCTGATAAAAAGCTAAAAGGCATACTACTTTCTAGTCCCATTCAGTTTTCTCCAGAGGTCTATCATACCTAACTTTTTGAAGATTCTATTCATCTCTTCAACTTCTTTCTTATTTATTTTCTGGTTAAATTTATCTATCTCTGAGAGAGGAAAATTGAGGTTCCCTCACCAGTATAGTTTTACTGTGTATTTCCTCCTGTAATTCATTTAACTTTTTTTTTTTTGTTTTGGAGAAAAATTTGTTATACATACAGAATAGCCACTAACTAAAGGTAAACAAGCTAGGGCAGAGTTGTTGGAAGATGGCAGCAAATTCTTTGGAAATCAAACAGGTGAGGGTGATTCTGGTTTTAACACAATGTTAGCCACTGAGGGATCGGGGTTGTCTCTGAGCACAGATGG